AGTGTCACATATGCAACACTCAAGCAAATTGCTGGCACACGCGCCGGCACTAATGGCGCTGCAGACTGAGCGCGGCAACGGTAATGTCATGTGACACAATAAATCATTTTCACATATCAAAATTGCATTTGTTATGAACTCTCGCATTTTTTGCCACTTTATTTCCATTTCTGCTGTTTTTTGTTGTTGTCGACGAGCGAAAGAACGCTGCACTTTATGATAACTCACTCAAGCGGCAAACTGATAGCTGTCATACTTGTTTTTATTGTTGCTGATATTGTTGTTATTATTGTTGTTGCTAGCACAGAACAAAAGCAGATAATAGTGTACCTGAGACGAAAGTCAACGCAACAAGTCAAAGAGTTAAGCACAAATATGCATCTTGGTAGCACTGCCGTACAACACCCCTCCACCATGCCGTTGCATTCACTCCCCTTCCACTCCGCTTCCAACTATTTACCTTGCTCTCTTTAGTTTACTGCGTGGCATCTGCAACACGAGCACAGCAGCAAAGCTATCTATCATCAACGTCAGCACAGCAGCACCGTTAGCAAAAACAACAAAAAATCACAACAACAACAATAGCTGGTGTTGAAGTTTACAGCGCAATAGAGTCGCACAGGGTTACTTCATGAGCACTGAACAGAAAACTATCGCCGCTCTTTATATGCTTTATGTTTTCATGTTGTTACTGCCACAATATAACGGTTATATGGCGATGTTGGTGGCCTAAACAAATATACATTGGTGTTTGTGTGAACTTTGTGGAGTAAACCAGGACTAAAGTTTCTATTAGGGTGCGCCAAAAATTTCAACTTTTTGGAATTGGTCGGTTTATGGATTCTTTTTCTTCTACTTTACTAGCGCAGACATCGCTTATGCGGTTCCATTCGCTGTTTGGCGCCAAATCCTGATACCAAGTACAGCCGGGTCCTTTCCGTCTGATCTTTCCAAAGAAGTAGAGGTCATCCTCTTCCTCTGATTCCACCGGCAGGTACTGAAAGTTGGAGTATTCTCTTCCATCCGAACAATGCGACTAAGCCAGCACAACCGCAGTCTCTTGATTCGTCTCACATATCTCGTATAGCTCATCGTTCCATCGACACCGATACTTGCCATCGCATAAATCTTATGTTTGACCCAAGTCGCGAATGTGCTGAATGTTTGCTTTATGACAGGAGATATTTCGTCTTGTCCTCAATTACAACCAGCGCCATACGTTTCGCTTGCTTGTCCAATCTAGAGAAAGCAGAACTAACGGTAGGGTTGTTGAGTCCAATGGTATCAATATTATCAGCGAAGTCAGCATCCTTATACTATTATTGTAGATTGTACCTTCTCTGTTTAGCTGCTCAGGTATATCAATAGATTAAAGAAGTCTCCTTGTCTGAAACTTTTCTTGTCAGTTCAGCGACGCCGTATTTGAATATCTTTATTGGTAAACCATCGACTCCTATCGCTTTGTTGTTTTTCATGCATGTTCGACCCTCATCATAGTCGGGCTATCATCGTCGACTGATGCAACGGGTTCGCACATCTCCAGCTGTTCACTGCCGTTCAGCAGGTTGGTGAAGTGTTCCCTCCATAAATTCGGTATGCTCTGAACATCAAGCACTAGATAACTTCTTTGGAATCTACGAGTGTAAGCTCCAGTCATGAAATCTTCCTTCAGTCGTCGCTCCTGTCGGCCAGAGTCTTAAGCTGTTCATGCTCTCGCATTTCGGCCTCTTTCTATTTTGAGTAGAAAACCGTTTCGCCGTCGGTTGTGATAGTAGCTCACCCTAGTGTATATAACTGCCAATATGTAGTTAGGTAAATATGTATGAATGTATGTATTTGCAGTATATGTGCTCACATTTCCGCTACCGTTTCACTATATCCCCTTTGACCGCCACCGCACACCACCCGCTGGCAACATGACGCTTACATAACTTTCTGACTTTACAGCAGGCGTTTCTCCCAGCTGGACCGCCGACCTCGAGTTGCCCACATGCGTTGTATATCGCTGCTGAAGGCTCTTAATAACGCCTCTCTATCGGCAACGGCTGCCACCAACGGCTATCGACTTTTAAAGCTACTTTATGACGTATCGAATACTTTCATGTACGTTGTTGTTGTGATAGGCTTAAAGTCATATTTCGAATTTCATACACTTCATATTTCGCAATGCACTGAAAAAGTATTGAAACTTCAGGCACTGTTTGAGCATTTTCGACTTCAAATTTATGCTCGGAAATCACAAGCATTAAGTGGGGTTTACACGATTGCTATCAGTTTGCTCTCGCAAAAAGTCAAATGGGCTTTCTAGTGGTGTTTGTAACGTCAATGGTTGATCTGACTGACTTGGTAGTGATTAAAATGCGAAATGGAACAAAGTTCAGCGCGTATTTTATACTTCTACATATTTTTTTCACTCTCAAATGTTACATACATACGAGTGGTTTAGTTTTCGTTGATGAACTCAAAAAATTCGATTGCAATTCTCCGTATTTATTCTACAAGTACTTATTTACCTCCAGAGTACTAGATGTTTTATAGCTATGACATAAATGCGAATAATTTTCTACAAAATCCAGATATTCGCTTTTTATCCATGCTTTTCGAACTCGTAGTACTTACAGCTGTGTGCACTAGGTGGCGCTAAATTAAATCCAACATCATCCAGTATGAAATCCATTTAAAGATAATTTTCATACCGTCTTATGGTCATGTGGAACGTAATTCAATATATAATGTCCGGTACTCTTTAAGTCTTGGGTAGGAATTACTTCTGAGCATTAAGTTGTTCGAAAGATATATAATTTATCGGTTCTCACATATCTCGTACTTTCAACTGTAGACATTAGTTAGCGCTGAAGTCCAGCTACTTCCAAAAAGCATGTCGGAATCATTTTAAGACAACTTTTCTCTCGTGTCACACCTTGAGACCCAATTAATTGTCAGCCTTAAATGTTGAAATTCAAATGTACTTTCTTATCTTTAGCTCTACTTTAAACATAATTAACGTCCGACCAGTTAAAAGTAATTCTGTTCCTTGCTAAAGAGCTTCAAACCAGATTCCTACCTTGATTTACCAGCCGCAATAGCTTTAATATATATTAATTTTCTATACAAATTTTGATTTTTTTTTAGCGAGGAAAAGTAGGCAATATATTTTTATCATTTTAACAGTGATTCTCCTTCACAAGAAGAAGCTAAAAAATAGATGAATTTTTATAGTAAAAGATTTGGAGCGTTGGTTTCGCAGTTCCAACTTCTTTAAACTTCTCAAAAACCTAACTTCTTAAAACCCTTTAGCGATTTCCTAGTGTCTACTAAAGTCCATTTGAAGCAAGAAATATGGTTCCTTAAAGATGTAAGAGAGCTCTTACATGCAAATACATTTGCGGCGTGAAACCAATGGCGCTGTTCAATTTGGACTTAATAGAATCAAGCTTATAATAAAAATTCTGGAAAGAACTTGATTTATTGATGGCATATATTATCTCTTTGAAATGTTAGCCGCAACTACGTCACAGATGGTCCATCCATTGAGTCCAATTTTCCATGATTCGTTTGAGCATTTCGGCAGATAACTGACGAATGACACGCGTGATGTTTTGCTCCAGGGCCTGATCGTAACAATCCGCATGGACTTTATACATCTCCACAGGAAAAGGTCTAACGGTGTGATATCTCAATAAATCCATTGATTGATGCAATGTGTATGAAATGTAGGTGACTTGTTGAAACCAAGTGTCGCCGAGATCACGAGCTTCAATTTCAGGAATCAATTAGTCGGTTATCTTAGCGCGATAACGGTGGTCGTTGACTGTTACGTTTTCACCGGCATCATTTTTGAAAAAAAAAAACATGGACTGATGATTCCACCAGCCCACGATATTATGGATGAAATGGCAGCTCTGGAATCTCTTTAGATTGCTTTTCGTTACATATACGTCAAGTTGGCTTGTTTACAAAATTTGGCCCGAAAACGGATTCCTCTTGAAGCTTTTCAAGAGCCCATAGAGAGAAGTGATGTCACTTGGAAAGGTCGAGCGGATTCAGGTCTTGCACAAGCTGTATTTTGTACACTTACAATTTAAGATCTCGAAGTAAAATACGCCAAATCGCTCAATGTATTAGTCTGAGTTATTGTGAACAGCGCCGAATCGACTTTCCACCGTTGTCTTCGTGTACACTCGCAGCTACGGCTGCCATTTTTTTTTTTTTTTTTTTTTCAATGCCCGCTGGTCGAATGAATGCAGAGTCTTAAGATGGGTTATGCTGTTACCAATTATACACTCAGTGGGCCGATTATGTTGACTATGAGTGGAGCGAATCGTGAAACACATTCTTTACAGAAAGTGAATTCTCTTCATATAGTTCAACGATTTGCAATCGTTGTTCAGTCGTAAGTCTTTCCATGATGAAATGCCACACAATACTGAAAAAAATAACATGAGAGCTTGACACTACTCAGACGTGATCTGTCAAAAAAAGCGTATTGAAAAATGTTGCTTTACTTAGAACCGTCGTTATATTGTTTTGTATCGCTGGGGTATTGGTTCGACTATCTTATCTTTTTCACAAAGAAATGGCGAGGAAATTGGAAATGCTTTTAGAATAAAATTTTGAAATAAGCTCTTTATGCACTAGAGCTAGTTATGTTAAAGGGGGCGTTGCAATAATGTCGTGATTCTCGTTTTTTTATTTTTAATTAAAGTGAACAACCGCAACCTTGGTTAGAGAGATAGGCAGACAGACAGGCCATGATTCGTGTTAGATACTAGATTTCGGGTTTTTGAATCTCAAATGCAACTGTGCAAACATTAAAAAAAACAGGGCGACCTTTAAATTACTTTGCAAAAAGTTAGGAAATTGCAAAAAAGTAATTACGAATGAAGAAAAACATTTGCACTTCCGACAAATGTTTTGATATTTGAACAAAGTTCTTCGCATCTTAAAGCGACGCCTGTCAGACAAATTTTGCAAAACATTTTGCAAAACCGTTAGTTTTCTGTATACCCTTAAACTATAAGCAAGCGAAATGAAGTTAAACTACAAGCTCACATTACTAGTGCTGATCAGCTGTTTGTACGGCATTACCGATGCCCAAAATCGTATTGTCGGTGGCACAACCACGAAAATCTCAAAATATCCATATATGTTAGGGATACTACAGGCGGACGGTACATACTTTTGTGCCGCTTCGCTTATCACCAGAAAAAATGCACTCTCAGCGGCGCATTGTGTGGTCGATAAGCTAGTTTCGGAACTAATTGTTGTCGCCGGCGTTACGGATCTAGGACAAAAAGGACAGCGTCGAGGTGTGAATCGTATGTGGATTCCGGAAGGATTCGATTTGACTCCCAACGATTTCGACGTTGCCGTGCTCGAGTTCCGCAGACCCATGGTTCTCGGTGTGAATGTGGCCATCATACCGCTGGGGAAGACCCGCCTTAAAGCTGGCATGCGCATGCGTGTCAGCGGCTGGGGAAAGACAAGCGAAAACGGGAAGACCGCCGCAACTAAACTACATACGGTTGTTGTGCAGATCATTGGGTATGACAAGTGCGCCAGTCAGTATGAAAAGTCCAACACAAAAATAACATCAACAATGTTGTGTGCCGGACATGGCGATAAAGATGCATGCAACGGTGATTCCGGCGCACCAGCAGTTGTTAATGGCAAGCAGTATGGCATAGTGTCGTTTGGCAAGGGTTGTGGACGTAAGGAGTATCCAGGTGTCTATACAAAAATAATGAATGCAGATGTGCGCGGCTTCATTTACGATTGTATTCGACAGTGAGCGCAAGGTGAATTTTTACTTAATATTTATTAAATGAAGCTTCGAATGTGTATGTAAATATATATCTTTAGAGTGTTTTTTTTTTTTTGGTAATAAACGTTTTGTTTTTGTAATAGACATTTGGCTTTTGTAAATTTAGAGGGTTAACTGAAGCTTGGAAACTCACCACGACGACTATCAAACTCTAAAAGAGGACAAGGATAGTATTAAGCGATCCAGAGGTGCTCCGAAGTGGTGTGTAAAGCAAGTCAAAGAAATTTCTGTCTAATCTTCAACTTTTGTTAAACTCCAGTTATAACTCAATATTTTTAAGTTTACAGAGATAAAACTCGGTTTTACCAGAAAGTTTTCCCGAGTTTATGGTTTAGTGTTAAACTTGAGTTTATGGTTTAGTGTAAAACTCGAGTTTATAGTTTGATGCTAAACTCGAGTTTATGGTTACGTGTGAAACCCGAGTTTATAGTTTAATGTTAAATTCGAATTTATGGTTTAGTGCTAAACTTGAGTTTATGGATTAGTGTTAAACTCGAGTTTACGGTTTAGTATTTTCCGCTTAACATTTTACCAAGCATGGAAGTTGTGTCATATATTACTACACAAAGAACCCAATAGTTTCAGCGGCATATAGGTTCTCTATTCATTAACTCAAAATGAGTTCCAAAGTTTTGGTGTTTAATAATCTGCTGGTTTAAAGCATTATATAGCAAATTTAAAGTTATGTTAAGCAATCTCTTGATGCAGTTTGCAAAGATAGTGTCATTTATGCCACCCTGTAACTAACTCGCTTGGTATTCAGTGCCAAAGCAGTGTTATGCTGCCTTCCCTATAGCAATCGGCAACTGCCGTTAATCAAAGCGGCGCAATGGAAGTGTTTATCTTCAACAGACAAAGGGTTCGTATGGGGTTGTGATCTAATGCAGTTTACGGTATATAACTAACCGGTTGTAATACCCAGTGGCATTATTGTCTGTCTGTAATGGAGTGCCTTTAGCAATACTTGTCACCGTTGTTCATTCTGCTTGCGCCCGAAGCATGGAACTTGCGGACTAAGTTGACACCAATTTCGACAGCGAATAAACAGAAAACACTGCGAAGATAATTCGGAGGGTCAATAAATACTTAAATTTTAAGTAAAAAGTCCTTATTGTACGATCCAGATTTTTTAACCAAATCGTGATTAACGTAAGTTGCCAAGCTGTGTCTAGCTGTAGAAGAACTCATCCGTGGATAGACAAATTTCTAAAAGAATTTCTTGGTTATAGTCACTTGCTGGTACGACGTTGTTTTTTGTGATAATTTATCGGAAAGCATTAACCTCCCCCAAATTATGAATTCATGCCTACCAGATTGAGCACATATTGTCTCTGAGTGATAAAAATGTCTTTGATAAGCCTATTTTCTCTGCTTCTGACTAACTTTTCGGAGATATCTACCGTATACTCGATTCATTGATGCAAAACATGCATAAAAGCATTCTATTAGCTTCGAACGGAATGGTTTCTCTAAAGTAAGTTTCAAAGAAATACTATCCAATGAATGACCTCTCCGTGCATTATATAACTGTATATAATGTATAACATGTATGTTAGCTTATATCAAATATATAAGCTTAGTTCCTGTAATTATATTTAGTAGAGACATATTTGAGAATATAATTTATTCTGGCGCTTTCATAAGTTCTCATGAAAAAGATCTAACTATGAACCCGAAAAAGTAGTCCAGTCAGCTTAACACTACAAGTCATGAATAACAATAAAATGCAAAGAGTTCGTTTTGAGCATGCTCACGAATAGGATTACCAATTAAACAAAAAA